CGCAAAGCTTAGCAAGCGTGGCACTCTCTTCCGGGACTATATGGCCAGCGCAGGGGGTGATCTCTTGGTGCAGTGATTATCCACCGCATTGCGCGTGAGAGCTTGCGTCTTACCCTGATCCGTAAACGTCGCGGCTCAAACGGCACGGCACAGCACAGCATATCGCAGCACAGCTCAGCACAGTATAGCACACAGGGCAGGCGCGCAGGGCACGGCACGGCAGAGCGTGGCAGGGGTGGCACTTTCTCGACACCACAGGGGGTGCGCAGGGGGTGGTCCCTGAGCTCGGCCGCTATGCACGACGGTTGTCCAGGCACAGCAGGCGTGGCACTTTCTCGACACCACAGGGGGTGCGCAGGGGGTGGTCCCTGAGCTCGGCCGCTATGCACGACGGTCGTCCAGGCACAGCAGGCGTGGCACTTTCTCGACACCATGGGGGTGCGCAGGGGGTGGTCCCTGAGCGCGGCCGCTATGCACGACGGTCGTCCAGGCACAGCAGGCGTGGAACTTTCTCGACACCATGGGGGTGCGCAGGGGGTGGTCCCTGAACACGGCCGCTATGCACGACGGTCGTCCAGGCACAGCAAGTGTGGCACTTTCCCGACACCAGAGGGGGTGCGCAGGGGGTGGTCCCTGAGCTCGACCGCTATGCGCGACGGTCGCCCAGGCACAGCAGGCGTGGCACTTTCTCGACACCATAGGGGGTGCGCAGGGGGTGGTCCCTGAGCTCGGCCGCTATGCGCGACGGTCGTCCAGGCACAGCAGGCGTGGCAATTTCTCGACACCATAAGGGGGTGCGCAGGGGGTGGTCCCTGAGCTCGCCGCTATGCACGACGGTCGTCCAGGCACAGCAGGCGTGGCACTTTCTCGACACCATAGGGGGTGCGCAGGGGGTGGTCCCTGAGCTCGCCGCTATGGAAGACGGTCGTCCAAGCACAGCAGGCGTGGCACTTTCTCGACACCACAGGGGGTGCGCAGGGGGTGGTCCCTGAGCTCGGTCGATATGCACGACGGTCGTCCAGGCACAGCAGGCGTGGCACTTTCCCGACACCAGAGGGGGTGCGCAGGGGGTGGTCCCTGAGCTCGTATGACGACGGTCGTCCAGCAGGCGGCGACACCACAGGGGGTGCGCAGGGGGTGGTCCCTGACGGCCGCTATGCACGACGGTCGTCCAGGCACAGCAGGCGTGGCACTTTCTCGACACCACAGGGGGTGCGCAGGGGGTGGTCCCTGAGCTCGGCCGCTATGCACGACGGTCGTCCAGGCACAGCAGGCGTGGCACTTTCTCGACACCATAGGGGGTGTGCAGGCGGTGGTCCCTGAGCTCGGCCGCTATGCACGACGGTCGTCCAGGCACAGCAGGCGTGGCATTTTCTCGACACCATAAAGGGGGTGTGCAGGGGGTGGTCCCTGAGCTCGCCGCTATGCACGACGGTCGTCCAGGCACAGCAGGCGTGGCACTTTCTCGACACCATAGGGGGTGCGCAGGGGGTGGTCCCTGAGCTCGCCGCTATGGACGACGGTCGTCCAAGCACAGCAGGCGTGGCACTTTCTCGACACCACAGGGGGTGCGCAGGGGGTGGTCCCTGAGCTCGGTCGATATGCACGACGGTCGTCCAGGCACAGCAGGCGTGGCACTTTCCCGACACCAGAGGGGGTGCGCAGGGGGTGGTCCCTGAGCTCGGCCGCTATGCGCGACGTTCGTCCAGGCACAGCAGGCGTGGCATTGTCTCGGCACCACAGGGGGTGCGCAGGGGGTGGATCCTGAGCTCGGCCGCTATGCACGACGGTCGTCCAGGCACAGCAGGCGTGGCATTGTCTCGGCACCACAGGGGGTGCGCAGGGGGTGGGTCCTGAGCTCGGCCGCTATGCACGACGGTCGTCCAGGCACAGCAGGCGTGGCACTTTCTCGACACCATAGGGGGTTTCGCAGGGGGTGGTCCCTGAGCTCGCCGCTATGGACGACGGTCGTCCAGGCACAGCAGGCGTGGTACTTTCTCGACACCATAGGGGGTGCGCAGGGGGTGGTCCCTGAACACGGCCGCTATGCACGACGGTCGTCTAGGCACACCAAGTGTGGCACTTTCTCGACACCAGAGAGGGTGCGCAGGGGGTGGTCCCTGAGCTCGGCCGCCATGCGCGACGGTCGTCCAGGCACAGCAGGCGTGGCACTTTCTCGACACCATAGGGGGTTCGCAGGGGGTGGTCCCTGAGCGCGGCCGCTATGCACGACGGTCGTCCAGGGCATAGCAGGCGTGACACTTTCTCGACACCATAGAGGGTGCGCAGGAGTTGGTCCCTCACGCAAGCAAACACATAAGACATTTAATTTAGTATGTGGGGTTCCTCGGTAGCGTAATGGTCACCCTGTTCTGCTGCCGTTTGTGCTCTGGGGCAGGGCCCCCCCCCGCGCCCTCGTCAGACGCGCCTCGGACATTCCGCTTTAGAGCGCCATGCGCTGTAAAAAACATAGACTCCTTCTTGCATCCTCATTTCTAGTTGGCAGCTCCCACCGCGACCGCCACATCTCGCTTCGCCTGGGTCGCAATTCCTTTAACCCTCCGGTGAACCGCCTTCAACATCTACGCCTTCGCGTGCTTCCCCCCCCTCGCTCTGGCAGGATGCATTACTGTAGGGTCCGTCGGGCCTGTGCCGGCCTGTCCGCCAGGGGCCGCGACCTGGGGCGCGCGCGCCGCCTTCAACATCTCCGCCTTCGCGCACCTCCTCCCCGCTCGCCATGGCAGGATGCGTCGCTCCAGGGTCCGTCGGGGCATCCGCCCATCTGCCAGGGCCACGGACCGAGAACGTGCGCAACCGCTGCCTCGTCAAGGTCAACATCGCCAATGTTTGCAAGGACCGCTGTGCGACCCAACCCGGGCGTGCTCGGACCGTGTCCGAGCATCTCGCGGACCCTAAACTGTCAGTGCCCTCGCCTGCGGGGGTAGTCTCAGGTCTTACACGGTGTTCGAGACAACGTTCGCGCCTGCGGTGTCCGGACAAGGCCCCGAACTTCTTGGGGCTGTGTTTCGAGAGCTTCTGGATAGGCAAGCAGAGAAGAGGCATCTGGCGACGCTGTCGCGTGTGCTGGGTGGGGATGGCTTGGGGGTCATGGCGACTGGGGCGCCGTCGTTTCGAGGCGCCGCCCCTCGGGGCTCGACCCTCCGCTTTGCCCATTAACTCCCGTCAGCTGGGCAGGGCGGGATCCCGACGCGCACTCCCCTAGACGATCGTGCGCATGGCGGTGTTCGGTGCGCTGGCCGCGCGACGTGCGGAATACATTTCCGCGATTGTGTCGCGGGATGTTTCGGAGCGCCGTGAGCGTCGTAGTTGCGCGACAGAAGCGCGCGTCTGATCCGCTGGCGAGGAGGAGCGCATCCGGGGCAAGTGTTCTGGGCGACTCATGCAACGCCGCTTGAGGATCGCCGGCCCTCAGCACCTATGCGCAATGTGCAGGGGGCTATACTCCAGATGAAAGTCCATCGGGGTCGGCGTGTGCGCCATCGCGAGCTGCATCGCCTGCGTGGACGCAGGTGGTGGCAGCGTCAATGGGGGGTCGAGCATCAGGCTCGCGCGCCTTTCCCGACATGGGTGCGCGAGGTGGCGATGTGGTCTTTGGCCAACTCAGACCTCGACGAGTTTCGCCGGGCTGACTGCTTTTCGTCGTGCCTGACAGACGTGGCGCGCAAGTGCGCGGACAAATGGCCGCCGGCAATCCTGGTCCAGGGCGGGCGCGTCAACGGCAACCCAGTGCCGCCGAGTATCTTCCTTATGCGCAGCTTGGCCGGACAATGGGCCAGCGTGGCGAGGAGGAGCGCGCCGCGGCAGTATCGGCTCTGATGAAGTTTGACCGACAGCCGCAGGGGCGCATCGGCAACTTCCTGACGAGATTCGAGATTTTCCGCAAACGGGCGGATCACGCTGGTAAACTCATGATCGGCTACGAAGGACTCAGCTTGCTCCTGCTGCGCGCCGTTGGCGTGTCGAACGCTCAACTCGACTCACCATTCCCCTGCAAAGCTACAGAATTGCATGCCCCGCGAACGCTCAGCAGCTCACTCATCTGACGGGCCAGCTGAGACGCTTTGGGCACATGATAGAGGGATCGCCAGACAATTTCGCCTCGGCGGTCCACTCTGCCAACAGCCCGCGTTCCTTACGGGTGCGCCCGCGCAGAAACAGGAATGGGACGGAATGTGTCCTGCTGCGCCTCCCCCCCATGGCCAGCCGAGGCCGTGTGTAGAGGCTGTGCCTCCAGCGCGGTATCACCGGCACAGGGGGCATGCCCAGCAGCAGACATCGATTCAGGCACCGACGCCGACACTGCCAGCTCATTCGGTGTGGAAATAGCCGCCGACGACCCAGAGCTACGCCACACTCCCGTGGAACAGCGTGGTGCGCACATCAGCTGGGCTTTCGAGCGCGCCAAATCACGTTGTCGCAGCTAGATGATGATAGTGATGATGATGTTGGCGATGCTGATGGTGATGATGATAATGCTGAAGGTGCTACTGCTAATCTTGACGCGAATGATGATGACGATGGCGATGACGGTGACGTTGACAATTTACGGTGGTGATGTTGATTGTGATGATTACGATGATACGGATGATGACGATGGGGATGATGATGGTCATGTTGCTGTTGCTTAGTAAGGTGAAAATGATGCTGCGGATGCTGATGTTGTTCATGATGGCTTCGATGCTGACGATTTAACGCGGTGATGATGCTGATGCCGATGGTGACGATGATGACGATGATGGCGATGGTGGTGGTGGTGGTGATGATGATGGTCTGGGTGCCGCTGCTGAGGCTGCTGCTGCGGAGCAGGAGCAGGAGCAGGAACAGGAGGAGGAGGAGGAGGAGGAGGAGAAGGAGGAGGAGGAGAAAGAGAAGGAGGAGGGGGAAGAGGAACAGAAAAATGAGGGGGAGGGGGCCCAGGATGATGGTGTAAAGACCCAGAGGGGATGCCAGCCTGGGTGTATTCAAGACGGCAAACTCAGGAACCAGATCAGCGGCTCGACGCTGCCGTCGGCGGAGGACGGCTTCTTTGCCCCGTGCCAGTTCGGGCTGGTTTCGCACCCCGGCGTCCTCCTTGCCCTCCATCTCCTCTTGTCCTCCTCCTGCACCTCCTGCTCCTCCTCTCTTGTCCTCTACTGCTCCACCTCCTTCTCCCCCTCCCGGTCCGTGCACCCCCTGTCCTCCTGCCGGTGTCTGCCCCCCCTATCTTCCTCTCCCATGAACTTTCAGAGGTCCGCGCGGATTTTTTGGGTCGGCGCTGCATCCCCTTCCCTGGCGCGCGGCGCCGCGCCAGGCGCGGCGCCGGAGGCGCCGCCCGGGGGGCTCCAGCGCCGACCTCCGTCGCAGTATGTTTATGTTGTTCGTTATATCTGTTTTGCCAATTTGTGCAGTCGGGTACCGCCCCATCGTCACAGTGGCTGAGCTCTGGATCCGCAGCGGCCCTCTTCGCGCTGGAGTACATGTCGCCAGGCGCATCCAGAGATCCAGTGGGCTGTGATAGCTGGGAGCCTGGGGACTGTGACCCGCGTGGGGCAGCAGCGGCACTATTTCGCAAAAGGTGGTGCTGTCCATTCGAGCTGCCCCCCATATGCGCCACCGCGATCGGGGGAACCCGCGATTCAGCGCTGTAGCGCCCTCGTCCCCCGCTCCTCTCTTCCCCTGCTCCTTGCCGGCCCTGTGGCCCTTTTGCCTCGCGGGCCCGGGCCCCGCGGCCTCCCGCTCCGCCAGCGCGGGCGCCGAGGCCGCCGGTTCTCCCAGCGCCGGCGCGGCCTGGCGGGGGCCAGCGCCGTGCTGGCGAAGGTGGCGGCCGATGCGGCCAGCGAGCGCAGTGTGATGGGCCCGCGCCCGGGGCTGGCCGGGGAGCCCCGCCAGCCACAGAGCGGCGCGCGCGCCCGGGGGGGAGGCGGCGAGGGGCGGCCGCGCCAGGAGCCGGAGCCCTGCCCCGGCGAGGCAGGTGCAGGGCCGGGGGCCGCACTGCGCGCGCTGCTGGGGCGCCGAGGAGCACATCGCCCTGCGCCGCCGGGCGGGCCCGTGGTGGGGGTGCCGATGGGCACGCTGCCGCCCCCGTTCAACCCGCAGCAGAGTTCGCAGCCGGGCGCGCCCTTCGCGTACTCGGCCGCGCAGTACGACCGAGCACTGCGCGGCCGGGACGCTGTGGCCCCGACGCTCCCCAACATCGGGTCGCATTCGGCTGGCGCGGCCCGCGGTGGCGGCGCTGCCGCCGCGGGGCGGCCTTCCTTGGGCGACCCCTCGGAGGCGCCCGGGCGCCTCTGCGATGCGGCCGCGCGCGAGGTCGTGTTGGCGGACTTGGCGGGGCGCGGATGTTTTGTGACGGCCGATGTGGCCCACGGGTTCGGTTATGTGGCGTACGAGGGGGATCCCGTGCGGCACCACGGCTCCATCTTCGTCAGCGTGCTGGACGAGCGCCGCGAGATATCCCCCCGGCAGCTGGTCCTCTACAATCGCAGCGCCGCGGGTACGAACAAGATTGCCGTGCTGGCCATCGCGAGCAACCGGTCCGGCGTTCGGTTTACACGATTCGGGAGAGGAGCGGTGAGGCGACATAACGCGGCCCATCTGCGGATTGGTAGGGCTCAGTATCCTTCTCGTCGTTCTCGTCGCCCCCCTTACTCCTCGTCGTCCTCGTCAGCACTTCCGCGGCAGAGGCTTTGGTCATGGAGCTTAGTGTCCCGCGAGTCTCGGTGATTCGTCCATGGCTGCTGACTGCTGCTAGCTAGGTGTACGCGTGGACAGCATGCCCCCTGCCAACTCCATGTCTTGTTCTTCCCCTCCCATCTAATTTGACTCTGCGTCGAAATCGCTTCGAGCCCTCGGCATCAGTTGGCCTGTTTGGAGTGTGGCCCAGCTTGATTGCGTGTCGTCTCCCCACGAGTCTCTCCACGGAGATGCCGCCCGACCTCCCTCCGCGCTTCTTGGGCCCGTCCGGCCCCTTCGCTCTTCGTGCATCGAGCAGAGGAGGGGCAAACACAGCAGTTGCCATCCCTTCCCTTCCCCTTCCTTCGGTAGCAACTCATGGGACCCTTGATACCCTCGCAATTCCGTATTTTGAGTACAGTAGCATCGATTAGAGTTTGGCAATCAATGAGATAGCGCCGATTTACCTTTGATATAGCGTCGATTAGCGTCGATGTAGCGTCGATTAGCATCGATGCAGCGTCGATTAGCGTCGATGAGCGTCGATTATGGTCGATTCGTGCCGATTCGAAAGAAGCAGCAAGATGGTGTGGGAGGCTCCCATGAATTGCTGCAGAACTGCGCCCTATCACCCGTCTTTCGCCCTTCCGTTCTACTATACCTCTCATCCCCCTTTTGATCCTGCCCCTGCCCTCGGGTAGGGGCAGGATCTTTTCGAACCTTACCCCTCCCCCCTGCCCCTTTTGATCCCCCCCTGCTCTCATCCCCCTTTTCGAACCTTTCCCCTCCCCCCTGCCCTCGGGGGCGGTGCTGGCGGCGCCGCCAGGCGCGTGGGTGGAAGGGGAGGACCCAGCGCCGACCCGAAACATCCGCTCGGACGTCTGGCAGTTTCGGTTGAGGAGGAGGCAGGCAGGCAGGAAGGCAGGCAGGCAGGCAGGCAGGCGGAGAAAGAGGAGGAGGAGGAGGAGGAGGAGGAGGAGGAGGA